AGTAGAACCGTCAGAGTCGTCAGAATTGATAGAATCGTCAGAAAAGTCAGAATTATTATAATCGTCAGAAAAGTCAGAATTAGTAGAATCGTCAGAAAAGTCGGATTTAGTAGAATCGCCAGAGTCGTCAGAAAAGTCAGAACTAATAGAATCGTCAGAGTCGTCAGAATTAATAGAATCGTCAGAGTTGTAAGAAAAGTCAGAACTAGTAGAATCGTCAGAAAAGTCAGAATAAGTAGAATTATTAGAATCGTCAGAAAAGTCGGAATTAGTAGAATCGTCAGAGTTGTCAGAAAAATCAGAATCAGTAGAATTGTCAGAGTCATCAGAAGTAGCACAGTTTAAAGCTTTAGAAATGTCAAGGCTTGTGGAATTTGGAAATTTATCGGAGCTATCCCAGATGATATAGACTTTCTATTGCAAACGGAGCAAATGAGGGATGAAGTTAAAATTAAACAAGGAAGAACGCTATAGTCGAGTACCTCGACTATCAGATACCCGTTACTCAGATAAGATAAGTTAGCCGCGCACTTTGTTCTCTCTCCCTTGCTCTCATTTCTCGGCTCTTTTTTTGCTTCAGCCAGCGCCAAGAATGAGAAAGCAACACATAAAATAGACAAAAAACATTTATATTTATGTATGCTTGCTAAACATACACAATTTTAAGGCACATTCTGTATTTCAAAATATTTGGATGAATAGCTTTGTTTGAAAGAATTCTATTTGCCGCGGATATTAGTTTGCAATTTTTTACATCCACACACATTGTAACGAACTGATTTTGTGTGTCTGCTCGCTACGAGATTCGTGCGGCTAGCTCAGAAGATTGTGCGTTCGTCCCACCAAATTTATATGACGTGATTGCCCGTAGATCAGTGAGAAAACAAAGGGTTCAAATGGTAACAGTGGGATTTATTCTCGTGGTATAAGTACAGCGGGTGTGTGGCTGGGCTGGCTTCGGTATCTCCTGGCTCTGGTTCCGCCGGCTGCTGGCGCTCCTCTTTCTGGCTCCTCGACGCGTTGACTCGTCCTCCTCTGGATTCTGGGTCTCGGGACGCTCGTAGTGACCGCCTCTGCTTGCTTGCTGACGCGCTGCCTCGGGGTCGCTTGTTGCGCCTTAGACCCGCCGAGAGTTCAGCCTTGTGGGCTTAGGGAAGCGTCACCGTTCTCAGACTAGGGTGAACAAGCCTTGCTCTCCAGGCCGACGCCTTTCGAGGCAATACCTGTCCCTTGCTCTGTCCCGGACGGTCCCGCTAGGTTCTTGCTCAGTGCGAGCTGACAGTCAAGGCTGCCGCCAGGAAGCTGTCTAGCGGTTCACTTCGCTTTACGCCTAGCGCAGACGAACGTTCCACCCGGCTTCACCCTAATGCGTGACGTCTGCGACGCTCCTGCGCTCCCCAATGAGCTCCGCGCGGCGATGATAACGTAGCTGCGGGAAATGTCTGCTGGTGTCGCTGTCGATGTCCTCTGCGCTGTCTTCTGGCCAGTATCTTGTCGTTCTGGCACTCGGGGAGTTGGGCGATTGCTGTTCGGGAACTTCGCCGGAAATCGCAGGGCTCTCCAGGCGGTCGCCTCTTGAAACCACAAATCGATCTACCGCTCGTCCGTCACGCCAGGTCCTGCTTGGTCGGGCAAAGTACGCTGGGTCGCAGACACCTTTCCTCCCCAAGCTGACGGTTCTTCGTCGGAGGACTCTTTTGCTTGTCTCTGACAGACCCGCCGGGCAACTCGCCAGGTTGTGGTCGTGACAAAGTTGGAAAACAAACGCCTTGACTTAGCCGCGTGATGCCTTCCAGAACTCAGCCACCTGTGTCTCAATTCGGAGATTCCTGATGTCCCAATCCCGAACGTCTCGACGTGGCGATCTTGCTCCTTGTGTGCTTCCCACGGCGCTGCTTCCGACGACTCGCTTGGTTGTAGCTCCCTCGTAGATTATTTGCTTGACTGACTGTTCACTTGGTACTTTAACTGATCTTGAAGGTTTGACTCCTCGTGATCGACTGATCCAGCTGCCAGCGCTCTGCGGCCTTATATAGGGCCTCCGGGAACCGTTATTTCCCTTTTGCGCACGGCCCGCTGGATCTCTCCACTCCGGGTCCAAGGTCCGTGCCTCCTGGTTGACCCACTTGTCCTTCACGTACCGCTTCCAATCGATACTCCGCCCACTGCTGCAGTCCCGCTGTTTCCCCTGATGCTTGTGGCACGCCTGTGTGCCGCTCCACTGCCGAGATGTGGCACTTCCTCTCCCGGTCCAAAGTTCACGGGAGAGTCCAAAGTCCGGTGGAGTTCCGTTATCCTGTTTTTGCACACGGCATTCTTGCCTTGCCCGCGAAGTCTCCATTCTCTCTCGATATCCACGCTTGGTCTCCAAACTCTCTCGCTCTCCGTCCTTGGTCTCCAAACTCTCTCGTTCTCCATCCAAGTCTCCAAACTCTCTCCTCGCCGCGCCGTTACTACGCGAATTCGCCGCGTATCTGGTAAGCGGCCGGCCATCTGCTGCTGCTTCTATTTGTGGGGAGTTATTCAACTCCTCACATTCCCCCCTTACTTCGGGAAACATTTAAAACTTGTTTCTACTCTCCGGCGTTTCCTTGCATGTCCTAGCCTTCGAGTCCTTGTGATTCCCGCGGCGCTCCCAACGAGGGTTGCTCCCTCGACGCTCTTAACTCCCTTGAGTTTCTACAGCGCTGGTCATCCTCCTCGTAGCAACTTCAAATCTCCCGCGCCGATATTTCCCGTTTTTCCACTGGGACATCGATACTCATGGGCTATTGATCCCTAGTTCGCTGCTCATTGCTGCGTCTCACTCCTTTCCATGTTTCCTCCGCCTGGTCACACCATTCGTGCGTGATCGATTTTTATTCGCATATCGATACCGACGGTGCGGCGTTGCCACCTGCTCGTTGCGATATTTCCACCTTGGCCGATTTTTCTATTTTCGTGTGCCCATAGATCGCACTATCGTCCAGTGCCAATCGATCGCCTATCGAGGCGCCCCTCTTCCCTGGCTCGTGGTGATTTTGCAACTTTCATAGGTAAGTTTCTTTTGCATTTCTTTCACTTCTTTTCATCTCATCCTGTCGTCCTCTCTCGCCTTTCACTCGTCCTCCGTTGGCAGCATCTGACTCCATATTGGCAGCTTTCGAGAGCGGGTGCGGAGAGGACTTCGCGTTCACTTTGCAACCAGGACAGCAGGTAAGTATTATGATGTCCGCTTCTGCTTCCTGCATTAAGCCCCCTTTGAATTTCAGGTTGCTGGTGCGGCCCATGCATGCCTCGTTCTTTTTCTTGTTTTTTTAGTTAACTGTTGGTGTGGTGCGTGATTCTGTCTTTTGTGACCAGCTGGCTACGGTGTAGATCTGATTCTGCACCGTCCTCCCCTTTTCCTCGGGTAACAACTAGACGAGCTCGTCTGGCGCATTCCGTATAGAATCTCCGGATGCTGCGGTGTATGTCTGGACTGCGCGACTTGTGTTGCTTGTCTCCCTCTGCGCATACTCTCTTCTAAGTGGCGTAATCGGTTGACTCTGGCTCGCGCCCGACGCTGAAACCTGTTGCCTTGCGGTTGGATCCCTACACGCCTGTATCCTTGTGCCGTTTTCTAAGTGTCCCTTCCGCCTGGCCTAATCGCGGATGACTCTGGCAACTGCCCGACGCTAAATCCTGTTGCCTTGCGGTCGGGATCACCATCCACCCTTATCCCCGTCCTTGTGACCTATATTTATGGTTGATCTTTCTGCGTGGCGTTTGGATGACTCTCGCTTCGGTCTGACGCATAATACTTTGCCCTCGCAGTCTGGATCAACGTGAGATCCTTATCCATGTCCTTGTTCTATCCTCATTGTCCTTTCCGTGTGGCGTAAGGATGACTCTCGCTTCGGCCTGACGCATAATCCTGTCGCCTCGTACCTGTCGTTAGACAATCTGACGTTTCTGCAGTTTGCTCGTTTTGTTGTTGGTTGAGCTCGCCAACGTGAACTGTCCTTTCTTTCTTCGACTGTGTGGCAAATTTTACAGATCACTGGAGAGACGAAGTCTACAACCTGGTAGGGGCCATCGTACCTCGGGGCTAGTTTTGCAGCGAATCCTTCGGCCGCTTTGGACAGGTGATGTTCCTTGGCCCACACTATGTCGCCCACCGCTGGTGACCATTGCCTCCTTCTCAGATTGTAGTGTCTGGCTTGGTCCTGGGACGGCTTTTCCATATTTCGCCGCACGATCTCGAATACCTCTCTTAGTTTGTTGGCATTTTCCTGAGGGGTCTCCGTAGCTCGTCCAGTGCCTGGGTTTCCTTATCATATAGGCTGCTGGGTAGACGTGGTTCCCATCTTTGGGTAAGAAACTCCGGTGTACGGCCGGTGGATTCCGATGTGCTCGTGTTCACTGCTAGCATAATCTCCGCCCACTTCTCGTCCCAGTTTCTCTCGTCCTGCCCTGCGAATTGCGTACTCATGGTCTTGACCGTTCTGTTTGCTCGTTCGGTTGGATTCTCTTGTGGTGTGTATGGTGCGGTGAATTGTTGCCTGATACCCATCTCAGCCAGGAAACCTTTAAAGATGCGGCTTGCAAACTGCACTCCGTTGTCCGTTATGACCACTTCCGGGACCCTGTACCTTGCGATTATGCGTTCCCTAAACCCCTTCTTGAGCGACTCTGCTGTCGCACTGCGCAGGGGCACCAGTTCCGTCCATTTCGAAAATCTGTCTATCATGACCAGCAGCATTTGGTTCCCGTGCTTAGATCTTGGTAGGGGTCCATCGAAGTCTGCACATACCGTGGCCCATGGTTCCTCCGGCACTTGGGTCAACATCTTCCCGCCCGCCTGCATCTGATTGGGCTTAAACCACATTTAAATCTCGCATTTTCTTACGTGGGCTCTGGCGTCTCTATGCATGCCTGGCCAGTAGTATCGGGCTGCCAACCGTGCAATTGTCCTCCGGCTTTCTATCAGTTCTGATCAGTTTAACTCGGAAAATATAGACTCAGTTAAATCTGCACAACTTAGCTCAGAGCAGAGGAACAGATGTCTAGAACAAGCTAGGGTATTGAAAAAAATAGGAAACACAAGGTTTGTGTACCTCACTGATTTTAAAAACCACTGCAAAATATATGATGACGGTCAATGTAGATACATCAGATGGTCTCGTTAATGGAGCCACAGGTGTTCTTAGGGAGATAGGCTTCAGTACGTCCAACACTCCGAATATTCTTTGGATAGAATTTTTAGATGAAAGCATAGGAGTTAGTGCACGATTAAAGTGCAGTCACCGTCAAGAGCCTTCATGGACCCCAGTAGTTAAGATTATCAAGAGCTTTCAGATTAATTCCAGCCAGGCCACTACCATTGACCGAAAGCAGTTTCCAGTGGTACCTGCAGAAGCCATTACTTTTCACAAAAGTCAAGGAGCTACGTACAACAAAGTGGTGGTTCACACTAGTTCAGGAATGCAGAGAGCTGCACTGTATGTAGCCTGTAGCAGAGCCACAAGTGCAGCAGGTCTTTATATCATTGGACCTTTCGTCCCTCCAAGATCCGCTCAGGACTCAGCTTCAGAAGAAGAGCTCCGAGAATTGCGTTCCGCTAAATTACTGAATACCCATTTCGATTGCTTACTCAATAGTCCGAACCTTCATGTCTTTTTCCATAATACGGAAAGCTTGCACTGCCACATTAGCGATGTATGTTCCGATCAGCTAATGCTTAAGTCTTCACTTTTGTGCTTCGTTGAGGCTTCCACATACTCAAATGAAGCATATGATATTCCTGGCTTTACCCCAGCGGAGCTCGGCCAAAAAGAGGCATTCTAATTCTACAAATTTAGCCTCTGCAGTGTTCGAGTTCGCCACCTTTAAGTACCGTTCTTTAGGGATTATTGTAAAATATAAAAGTCCGACTTATCCGTTGATAAAGTTTGAAACAGAATTTAAGGATTTATTTCAGCGGCACACGTTTTTAAATAGTAATTGTTTAGTGTTAGGAGATTTTAATTTGTGCCTTCACTCCATCTCTGGCTGCTGTAGGAGAATTTTCGATTTTTTAGCAGATGCAAAAGGTTTTAGTTCATTGCTAGATTTGGATTCGTCTACAACCAATTGCAGTACGCATATTGATTGGGCGTTTTCAAATATTTTCGATAATAGGGTGTAACGAACTGATTTTGTGTGTGTGCTCGCTACGAGATTCGTGCGGCTAGCTCAGAAGATTGTGTGTTCGTCCCACCAAATTTATATGACGTGATTGCCCGTAGATCAGTGAGAAAAACAAAGGGTTCAAGTGGTAATAGTGGCATTTATTCTCGTGGTATTAGTACAGCGGGTGTGTGGCTGGGCTGGCTTCGGTATCTCCTGGCTCTGGTTCCACCGGCTGCTGGCGCTCCTCTTTCTGGCTCCTCGACGCGTTGACTCGGCTTCCGCTGGCTCCTGGGTTTCGGGACGCTCGTAGTGGCCGCCTCCGCTTGCTTGCCGACGTGCTGCCTCGGGGTCGCTTGTTGCGCCTTAGACCCGCAGAGAGTTCGGCCTTGTGGGCCTAGGAAAGCGTCACCGTTCTCAGACTAAAGTGAACAAGCCTTGCTCTCCAGGCCGAAGCCATTCGAGGCATTACCTGTCCCTTGCTCTGTCCCGGACGGTCCCGCTAGGTTCTTGCTCAGTGCGAGCTGACAGTCAAGGCTGCCGCCAGGAAGCTGTCTAGCGGTTCACTTCGCTTTACGCCTAGCGCAGACGAACGTTCCACCCGGCTTCACCCTAATGCGTGACGTCTGCGACGCTCCTGCGCTCCCCAATGAGCTCCGCGCGGCGATGGTAACGTGGCTGCCGGAAATGTCTGCTGGTGTCGCTGTCGATGTCCACTGCGCTGTCTTCTGACCAGTATCTCGTCGTTCTGGCACTCGGGGAGTTGGGCGATTGCTGTTCGGGAACTTCGCCGGTAATCGCAGGGCTCTCTCTCCAGAGGCAGGGCCGCCTCTTGAAACCACAAATCGATCTACCGCTTGTCCGTCACGCCAGGTCCTGCTTGGTCGGGCAAAGTACGCTGGGTTGCAGACACCTTTCCTCCCCAAGCTGAGGGGTAGATTATTTGCTTGACTTGGTACTTTAACTGATCTTGAAGGTTTGATCGACTGATCCAGCTGCCAGCGTTCTTCGGCCTTATATAGGGCCTCCGGGAATCGTTATTTCCTTTTTGCGCACGGCCCGCTGGATCTCTCCACTCTGGGTCCAAAGTCCGTGCCTCCTGGTTGACCCACTTGTCCTTCACGTACCGCTTCCAATCGATGCTCCGCCCACTGCTGCAGTCCCGCTGTTTCCCCTGATGCTTGTGGCACGCCTGTGTGCCGCTCCACTGCCGAGATGTGGCACTTCCTCTCCCGGTCCAAAGTTCACGGGAGAGCTCAAAGTCCGGTGGAGTTCCGTTATCCTGTTTTTGCACACGGCACTCTTGCCTTGCCCGCGAAGTCTCCATTCTCTCTCGATCTCCATGCTTGGTCTCCAAACTCTCTCGCTCTCCGTCCTTGGTCTCCAAACTCTCTCGCTCTCCATCCTTGGTCTCCAAACTCTCTCGCTCTCCATCCTTGGTCTCCAAACTCTCTCGTTCTCCATCCAAGTCTCCAAACTCTCTCCTTGCCGCGCCGTTACTACGCGAATTCGCGAATATCTGGTAAGCGGCCGGCCATCTGCTGCTGCTTCTATTTGTGGGGAGTTATTCGACTTGGGAGCAGGATGCGACCCAACTTCTGTTAAAATATTATTGTGCGCTCCCACAGGCAAAGCTGCTTTTGGAATCGGAGGCTCCACTCTTCACTCCATGTTCTCTCTCCCTGTTAAACCTGCTGGGTCTGCATTTAGGAGCTTAAGCCCTGATTTGTTAAATACTCTGCGTTCTAGATTTATTGATCTTAAAGTACTTATAACAGACGAAATTTCTATGGTCGGCGCAACAATGTTCTCCCATTTGGACTCTCGCCTTAAGCAAATTTTTTTCAACGTCGATGCTCCCTTCGGAGGTATTTCGGTCATCGTGTTCGGCGATCTTATACAATTGCGGCCAGTATGTGATCGTTGAATTTTTCAGCCGCCGTCGCATGATCCATACAGTGCTATATTTGGATCTTACCTGTGGAGCCCCTTTAAGTTTTTTGAACTCACAGAGATAATGCGACAGCGAGATGAGCAGCCGTTTGCAATTGCACTCAGTAACATGGCGTCCGGTCAAATTTCTTCTGATTATATAAGCTTACTTAGAACCCGAATTTCCGATGAAAGTCAAGTACCAAATGACGCAATTCACCTTTTCTCAAGCAATCAGGACACAGATCGGTACAATAGGGAGAAGCTCAACTCGATTCCCACTGATCAGTTTAACTCGGAAGCTATAGACTCAGTTAAATCTGCACAATTTAGCTCAGAGCAGAGGAACAGATGTCTAGAACAAGCTGATTTTAAAAACCACTGGAAAATATATGATGACGGTCAATGTAGATACATCAGATGGTCTCGTTAATGGAGCCACAGGTGTTCTTAGGGAGATAGGCTTCAGTACGTCCAACACTCCGAATATTCTTTGGATAGAATTTTTAGATGAAAGCATAGGAGTTAGTGCACGATTAAAGTGCAGTCACCGTCAAGAGCCTTCATGGACCCCAGTAGTTAAGATTATCAAGAGCTTTCAGATTAATTCCAGCCAGGCCACTACCATTGACCGAAAGCAGTTTCCAGTGGTACCTGCAGAAGCCATTACTTTTCACAAAAGTCAAGGAGCTACGTACAACAAAGTGGTGGTTCACACTAGTTCAGGAATGCAGAGAGCTGCACTGTATGTAGCCTGTAGCAGAGCCACAAGTGCAGCAGGTCTTTATATCATTGGACCTTTCGTCCCTCCAAGATCCGCTCAGGACTCAGCTTCAGAAGAAGAGCTCCGAGAATTGCGTTCCGCTAAATTACTGAATACCCATTTCGATTGCTTACTCAATAGTCCGAACCTTCATGTCCTTTTCCATAATACGGAAAGCTTGCACTGCCACATTAGCGATGTATGTTCCGATCAGCTAATGCTTAAGTCTTCACTTTTGTGCTTCGTTGAGGCTTCCACATACTCAAATGAAGCATATGATATTCCTGGCTTTACCCCAGCAGTGCGACTAGATTGCCAGTCAGTACCTAGCGGAGCTCGGCCAAAAAGAGGCATTCTAATTCTACAAATTTAGCCTCTCCAGTGTTCGAGTTCGCCACCTTTAAGTACCGTTCTTTAGGGATTATTGTAAAATATAAAAGTCCGACTTATCCGTTGATAAAGTTTGAAACAGAATTTAAGGATTTATTTCAGCGGCACACGTTTTTAAATAGTAATTGTTTAGTGTTAGGAGATTTTAATTTGTGCCTTCACTCCATCTCTGGCTGCTGTAGGAGAATTTTCGATTTTTTAGCAGATGCAAAAGGTTTTAGTTCATTCCTAGATTTGGATTTGTCTACAACCAATTGCAATACGCATATTGATTGGGCGTTTTCAAATATTTTCGATAATAGGGTGTAACGAACTGATTTTGTGTGTGTGCTCGCTACGAGGTTCGTGCGGCTAGCTCAGAAGATTGTGTGTTCGTCCCACCAAATTTATATGACGTGATTGCCCGTAGATCAGTGAGAAAAACAAAGGGTTCAAGTGGTAATAGTGGCATTTATTCTCGTGGTATTAGTACAGCGGGTGTGTGGCTGGGCTGGCTTCGGTATCTCCTGGCTCTGGTTCCGCCGGCTGCTGGCGCTCCTCTTTCTGGCTCCTCGACGCGTTGACTCGGCTTCCGCTGGCTCCTGGGTTTCGGGACGCTCGTAGTGGCCGCCTCCGCTTGCTTGCCGACGTGCTGCCTCGGGGTCGCTTGTTGCGCCTTAGACCCGCAGAGAGTTCGGCCTTGTGGGCTTAGGAAAGCGTCACCGTTCTAAGACTAAAGTGAACAAGCCTTGCTCTCCAGGCCGAAGCCTTTCGAGGCATTACCTGTCCCTTGCTCTGTCCCGGACGGTCCCGCTAGGTTCTTGCTCAGTGCGAGCTGACAGTCAAGGCTGCCGCCAGGAAGCTGTCTAGCGGTTCACTTCGCTTTACGCCTAGCGCAGACGAACGTTCCACCCGGCTTTACCCTAATGCGTGACGTCTGCGACGCTCCTGCGCTCCCCAATGAGCTCCGCGCGGCGATGGTAACGTGGCTGCCGGAAATGTCTGCTGGTGTCGCTGTCGATGTCCACTGCGCTGTCTTCTGACCAGTATCTCGTCGTTCTGGCACTCGGGGAGTTGGGCGATTGCTGTTCGGGAACTTCGCCGGTAATCGCAGGGCTCTCTCTCCAGAGGCAGGGCCGCCTCTTGAAACCACAAATCGATCTACCGCTTGTCCGTCACGCCAGGTCCTGCTTGGTCGGGCAAAGTACGCTGGGTTGCAGACACCTTTCCTCCCCAAGCTGAGGGGTAGATTATTTGCTTGACTTGGTACTTTAACTGATCTTGAAGGTTTGATCGACTGATCCAGCTGCCAGCGTTCCTCCGGGAACCGTTATTTCCTTTTTGCGCACGGCCCGCTGGATCTCTCCACTCTGGTTCCAAAGTCCGTGCCTCCTGGTTGACCCACTTGTCCTTCACGTACCGCTTCCAATCGATACTCCGCCCACTGCTGCAGTCCCGCTGTTTCCCCTGATGCTTGTGGCACGCCTGTGTGCCGCTCCACTGCCGAGATGTGGCACTTCCTCTCCCGGTCCAAAGTTCACGGGAGAGTCCAAAGTCCGGTGGAGTTCCGTTATCCTGTTTTTGCACACGGCATTCTTGCCTTGCCCGCGAAGTCTCCATTCTCTCTCGATATCCATGCTTGGTCTCCAAACTCTCTCGCTCTCCGTCCTTGGTCTCCAAACTCAATCGCTCTCCATCCTTGGTCTCCAAACTCTCTCGCTCTCCATCCTTGGTCTCCAAACTCTCTCGTTCTCCATCCAAGTCTCCAAACTCACTCCTCGCCGCGCCGTTACTACGCGAATTCGCCGCGTATCTGGTAAGCGGCCGGCCATCTGCTGCTGCTTCTATTTGTGGGGACTTATTCAACTCCTCACAACATGCATATAAATTAAATTCGTCGTTAATAGATGAATTAAAAAAATTTATTTTTAATTTTTAAAACTTGGGTGATAAACCTTTATTCTTAAACTTAATTAATACAAGACACTTTTTATTTATTATGAACCGATCGCGGTCTCGGATAAAATAGGACTCAATTTTAATTCTAAAAAATTCTCCAATGAACCTCGGCCAGAAGCTTTCCTTTTCTTAAGCTTCCAGAACTTTAATTTTTGTTTAAAATAAAAGCTTATGCTGAAACTGTCGCATCTCGTTGTGAAATGAAATTATGCTGACCGATGCAATTTGATTGAAAATCGGAACGCAATATGTTCTGAACTTAGAACGCAATACTGTGGGCTTTGAACGGAAAAGTTTGGGCTTCGAACGGAAGCTTGTGTTTACTTTACGATTGGTTTATTTATCTTAGCAGGACGGTCAAGCGCGGCCCTCGAAGTAAATGGCAAAGGCAAAGGCAGAATCTTTAAACAAAGGCAATGTCGCTGAAGGCAAGGGTAACATAGCTGAGATTGAATTCAAAAATTTGTTTATAAATTCCATAAGTGGAACCGTTTCACGGGTTGGATAACTCTCCCCCTTCTAAAATGGATCGTACCGATTCAATATGAAATTCATTTAATTGATCTCTTAATTCTGTTAAAAAATTTTCTTGGTTAATAGATTTTTCTGGTTCTGGCCGTTGTTTTTTGGTTACAAATAATATGACATTTTTGTATTTTATAATAAGTAAAAAAATCAAATATATAATGATTAAAATTAATAATATAAAGGTAAGTGATATTTTGGTATTATTAATTTTAATGAAAGGATTTAAAATGTTTATATTATCTAAAGAAAGTTCTGAGTTATTTGATAATATGTAATCGGATATTTCATAATTTTTGAAGTGGTTCGTAGTTAAGTAGTAAAGAATTTTGTTTTCCAAATTGGTATAAGAAATATTATTAATTTCGGATGTACCATTAAATGTTATCAAAAATGAACCGTTTAAATGAGAGTTGTTCACAATATTGTTACCATTTATAAGAATGGCACCATCTTGTATGATGTCTATTTTTTTATTTTTCTCTCTTATTTTTTTACAAGTGGATTTTTCGCCATTTAATAAGCGGGTAAAACAAGTTTTTTCATTATTTAAAGTGCAATAATTATTAAAAAGTTCGTTCTTAAAGTTAGACATTTCATAAAACATATTTGCGCATTTTGCGACTTGATTGCTTAATACTAGTTTCCCATCGATTTGGGAAATCGCTCTAGCGTAATATATTTCGCATCTGTTTTTTATTATTGGGTATTTTATATAAATTATTACAAGTTCTTTATGCAGTGCGATTTTAAAAACAGAGATGTCCATTAAGTCAACGATAATTACTGGTTTTTGTTCATGTTTTAATATTTCCATAATATCATCATTGTTTAATATTTTGGTATTAAAAACGTCAATTTTTGCTAGTGTGATTGTGTCAATTAAATTTTGCAGATCAAATGTTAATAATCGTAAGCGATGTTTTCGCAGTGGTAAATCTTGATCAATAAAAACATTTTTAAAATCATCAGAAAGAGATTCTATTTCTTTAAACAGTTTGGAATTGATAATAAATTGCTTATTATTATTTTCAATTAATTCATCGATTTTATTCTGTATTTTAATAAAATCATCATGATCCGGAGTTCCAGCTAACCATTTCCACACAGTGCCTATCTCATTTATCCCCCTTTTTGACCTAGTTGATATTAATTGGGATAAAATTAATTCGATTACTTCTATGTCATATTTAATTTCCCATTGTGACCTTTTATTAGTATCCCTTTGTATATTATCTGATTCCAATTTTATTATTTCTTTATAAAAACTTAAGTTAGTTACGTGGAATAATTCTGCGTATGAATCGTACGTCAATACGTCTTTATTGTCCTTGAATAAAAGATACTCGTGACTTGTATAGTCTATTATTTCTGATTTTGTTAATAAAATAAGGTGTAGTATGAGCACCTGATAAAACATTTTCTGGAAAAGGAAAAAAAAGTAACATATAAATTTTTAGAATTTTATATTATCTTTGTTAATAATTCTATTTCTATTGTTGATTATTATTTTGTTAGGTAAATTTTCTTTAACTACTTGTTTTTTATATCTAGTTTTAAGTTTATTTCTTTCCCCGTGTTTCTTTTCATAAATTACCTGTCCTACATGATATACTTTTTCTTTTCTGTTTTCATTATGTGTTTCTAACATTTTTTCTTGTGTATTTTTTAAAATTTGAGGAATGTTATCGTGCTTTATTTTATTATATAGTACGTCAAAGGGTTTTTGGTTCGTTGTAGAATGAATGCTCTGATTATATTCTTGAGCGGCTCTTATTACTATTTCGGAATAGTCAGTTAGATTAAATTCTTCTTTAATGCATCTAGCTAATTCTGTTAGTGTAGAATGTGCCCTTTCAACTTGTCCGTTTGAGGTACTGTGCCTCGGGTCTGCGTAATGTAAAGTTAAACCGCACCTTTGTGCAAAAGATTTAAATTGGGCCGAGGTAAAGCTTGGTTCATTATCGGTCATTATTACTTTGGCTTGTGGAAATTGTTGAAGAAGTTCCATTACTTTGTTTTCGATATTTAATTTATTTTGGATTTCTTTTACTACTAAAAATTTTGAGTAAGCGTCAATACAAGTTATGAAAGTTAGACTTTGCGCGTAATATATGTCGATGTGTAAATTTTCGCCTTCTTTACTCGGGATTGGGGCGTCTCCAATTGGAATTTTAGTTGGGTGTCTGTTATATTTGTTTTCATTGCAAATTTTACAATTTTTTATATATTCTTTTAATTTTGTAAGTAAGTTTGGCCAATAATACAATCTACTGATTTGTTTATAATTTTCGTCAAGTCCCCTGTGTGCTCTGCAATGTGTTTCTTCGATTATAAGTGCTCTGTCCTCAGGAGTTTCTACATCTTGGACAAATATTTTTGTATACAAAAATTTATTCACAAAATTATCTTTAAGTGGTTTTTGAATTCTATAAAAGTCCTCTAAAGTACAATGAACACCTACCGTTAAATTAGGAGGAATATATTCTCTTAAGATTGATATCAAATTTTCGGGAGTGTCAAATTCTATTATATGTCTGGTATTTTCGAATATATTAATCGACTCATGTATTGTACTTCCCCGTTGCTAATAGCAATTGTTGCTTAAACTGGTTTAAGGGTTTACGGGTTTCTTGTATAACATTCTCAAAACTACTCTCTGCTGAATGCTGAGTGTTTTGATCTGAGACCGATTCGTTACTGTCAGTTAAGTTGTTGATCTGAATTCTTGATAAGGCGTCTGCAACTACATTAGTTGTACCTGGCTTATAAATGACTTTAGGAGTGAAACTTTCTATGAAGGAGTACCAGCGTTTCATTTCAATATTAGGATTTTTATCAGAGATTGCGAAAGATAATGGTTGATGATCGGTTTGGATTTCAATTCCAATCACTCCGTATAAGCAATTTCTTAGATTTTTAAGAGCCCATACTATGGCTAAAAGTTCCTTCTTATTAGTTGCATAAACTTGTTCTGTTTTAGTCAAGGTTTTTGAAATAAAAGTAATTGGTTTACCTTCTTGAGATAATACTGCACCAATTGCGACGTCCGAAGCGTCGGTGGACAAGGTAAATTTTTTATTATAATCCGGTTGAACTAATTCTACTTGAGCAATGAGATTTTCTTTCAGCTCGTTAAAAGCTTTAATAGCTGGGCCATCCAGCTGAATTAACATTTTTGTTGACTTTGTTTTTGAAATTTTGCCATTATGACCTCCAAGATATTTTGTTAGAGGTTTGGCTATAGAGGCGTAATTTAAAACAAATTTTCTATAATAGCCCGTAAGGCCTAAGAAACTTCTTAGTTCCCGAATATTTTTTGGAAGCGGATATTTAATTATGGTGTCAATTTTTTCTGGGTCTGTCTTGATGACGTTATAAGATACGATGTATTCTAGAAAACTGAAAAAGCGTACGGATATTGTTTCCCGTATATTGGCCTGTCGTGAATAAGATTTATTTCCCCCTTTATGTCTGTTCTAAAAGGAATTTGCATATTTATCTTTGAATGCTCTTTTTCAATATAGAGAACTATTTTTTCCTTTTGTCCGTCTAATTGATCAGTACCTATATTGTTTATCTGTTGTTTGTCGGATAACTCAACGACGGCGGGCTTGAAATTTTTAAATTTCAAACGATTTTTATTTATTGGATTTTTGACGGTAATTACTTCGTCGGCACTCTCAGGATTTTGAATTCCCAAGATATTTGTATTTTTATTGACGGTATTTACTTCGTCGGCACTCTCAGGATTTTGAATTCCCAAGATATATGTATTTTTATTGACGGTATTTACTTCGTCGGCACTCTCAGGATTTTGAATTCCCAAGATATTTGTATTTTTATTGACGGTATTTACTTCGTCGGCACTCTCAGGATTTTGTATTCCCAAGCTTTTTTTCACTATTTTCCACAAATAATGAATCTGTGTTTTCGCTATTTTTTTCATCAAAATATTTTTTTATAATAAATTCTTTTAACGGAAGAATATTATTTTCTTCAATTAAACTTTTTTCCTCATTATCATAATATTTTAACTTTTCTGTTTTCCCTTTATATTCCAAGACTCCCTTTTCTATATTTATTATAGCTCCAATTTTTCTTAATAAATTAAATCCAATTAGCAGATCAGATTCTAATCCTTCGATTTCATAAAATAATTGTCTTGTTTCAAATATATTTATAATATGGTAATACCTAATAATTGAATACCCATGAACTATAGTTACCTTTTTGTATATTGATAACTCATTTTTATTTTCGAAAATTCCCTTTTTTATATAACAAGCAGTGGCTCCTGTATCTATTAAAATCTTTAACTGCTTCTTGGTTTTTCGGTCTGTCCTATTTAAATAAGGCATTCCCCTGTAGGGGTCTGGTCTAAAAAATGATCTTCGTTGATATTGTTTAATCTGGTTACTTTATTAGCTGGCTGATTTACTGTTCCTTCTGGTTCCCTTTTCTGAGCTTGAGTTTGCTCTTTATTTTGATTAGCGCGATAGTTATTTGATCGATTATTATTTTGATAATAATTATTATTGTATCTACCTCGATTATTATTTGCCTGCCAATTATTATTCGGCTGTCGATTGTAACTAGGTTTATTCTGGAGTTGAATCGATGGATCAACATCCATTGGCTCGACGGCTTGTTGCTTTTGATTATTATTATGATTATCGTTTTGCCAAAAATTTCCCTTTTGTGGCCAATTATAATTCTGGTTATTACTCCAATAATTTCCCGTTTTATTAGTATTATTGTTCTGCCTTTTTTGATCAAATCGTAAGTTGTTTCCCTGATATTTATTTTCATTTTTAAATCCATTAAACCTGTTGGAAAATTGAGCACGGAAATTGTTTGATTCTAGTTCTTGGACCTTTGCCAAAGCATTGGGTAAATCTGGTGGATTTAATGAGAAAAGAGTTTCTGAGATAGACCCATTTAGCCCAGATATAAAAATTCGTAAAGCATTGCTCCTTATTGTTTTGTTTGTTTCTTTGGCAATTACGCTGTCCTTTCCGTATGTCATTATGGTTTTGTTTATTAGTAGTGTCATTTTTTTATTGACTTCATTATAGTATTCTGTAACTGTCATTCGTCCCTGCCTGAGGATACTTAGTTCTGACTCGAGAATATGTATTGGTCGTTTATCGCTATATATAAAGTCCAATCTAGATAAGATTGCTCGAAAGTTTAAAACGGTGCCATGATTGGTAAGAGCATCATGGGCAGCTCCCAAAATTTTATTTCGTAAAATTGTTAAGGCGATAAAATATTGTTCACTTTGAATTTTATAGAGACTCATTACAGTTTCTGCGGCTTCCCTCCAACCTACATATTGTGTTGGTTCCCCCATGAACTTTGGTAAAGATTTTACCACTTCAAGTGTTGTATCGCATTTTATAGTTGGGTCGATTGTTTGTATTTTATAATCCTCCACAGTGTTTGCATCTGTGGCTAACTTTCCTTCCAAACCTTCTATTTTCCTGCTCACTTCATTTAATTGTACATTTATCAATCTATTTATTAATTCCACTGTTAAGCCGCCTGCTGTGGCTACACTACCTGCAGAAAAATTTGGTGCTGAACCTCCGGTTGCCATGGTTAGATTTATTTCACCAAAGCTATTTATTAAATCTACCAGACTGTTTAATATTTTTTATTAAATCGTGAATCTATCTTACTTTCTATCAATGTTTAAATCGTATATTATTATTATTTTTTTTTTTTTAATTCCCTGATCTTAGATTATAATTTTTTAATAAAATTTTATTGATTATTATTTTTTATTGAAAATTAATTTCTCACGAGACTGTCCCGATGGGGTCTTCCTTCTGTGAGGTTGATCTTCCTTCCTGGATTCAGTAGAAATTATTGGCAATAGAATGCCCTTCCTTCCTTCTTTAATTTTTCATGTTTCAGTGTTTTCTGATTTAGTTGTTGTTGTTGTAAGAGCTGGTTTGTTTAACTGTTTTTGTTTAGTGCGTTTCTGGTTTTGCTTTATTTTGTGTTCTTGTATTTTTTTATTTAAGATTTTGGTCCACCCTTTTTTAAAGTTCACCTTTAAATGGATTATTTCATTTTTTAATTTCCATTTAATTATGTTTAACGACCACTGTCACTTTGTTGTGATGTTTGGTGGATTTTTTAATTTCTCCACTAGAAATGTTGTGTTGTTGGCCGCGCGAGCTCCGTTTATATTTAACTTATTTTTCACTAAATAATTTTTGGAACTTTTTAGTTAACGCGGCCCCACGTTGGGCGCCAATTACAGTCGTCGTTAATAGATGAATTAAAAAAATTTATTTTTAATTTTTAAAACTTGGGTGATAAACCTTTATTCTTAAACTGAATTAATGCAAGACACTTTTTATTTATTGTGAACCGATCGCGGTCTCGGATAAAATAGGACTCAATCTTAATTCTAAAAAATTCTCCAATGAACCTCGGCCAGAAGCTTTCCTTTTCTTAAGCTTCCAGAACTTTAATTTTTGTTTAAAATAAAAGCTTATGCTGAAACTGTCGCATCTCGTTGTGAAATGAAACTATGCTGACCGATGCAATTTAATTGAAAATCGGAACGCAATATGTTCTGAACTTAGAACGCAATACTGTGGGCTTTGAACGGAAAAGTTTGGGCTTCGAACGGAAGCTTGTGTTTACTTTACGATTGGTTTATTTATCTTAGCAGGACGGTCAAGCGCGGCCCTCGAAGTAAATGGCAAAGGCAAAGGCAGAATCTTTAAACAAAGGCAATGTCGCTGAAGGCAAGGGTAACATAGCTGAGATTGAATTCAAAAATTTGTTTATAAATTCCATAAGTGGAACCGTTTCACGGGTTGGATAACTTATATACATATGTATGTATGTATGTCATTTTCTGGCTGTAGTGTCAAAGCTTGTCCTAACTACTTTGGTTTAAGAGCATTGGACTGAAAACGGAAAAGTTTTTTTGGAACAATCATTAGGTATTTATTAAGCTAATACATATTCATTGACAGAGGTAAATAAAGATGTACAGATCTTTAAAGGTTTTTGCCCGTCAATGGGACAAATGGATAAAGGGTTCATTATTCAATAGAATAAGTTAGCCGCGCACTTTGCTCTCTCTAAGCGCCGGCAGGGCTTTTTTCTTTGCCGCTAAGTTCGGCTGGCAAATATTTACATATACACACATACACGCGTAAAAACATTTCGCATTGTCTGGCTCTGACGTCATAGCTTTTTTCTTTGGAGGTTTGTGGGCGTTAGAGTGGGCGTAGCAAAATTTTTTTTGGGTCAATCGATAGGTATTGACAAGACTAATACATTTCAGTTAAAATTTTCTATTGAAACAAACTTGCGCTGCGTAAGAAGCTCAGGAACATGCACGCCAAATCTCAATAGCCTAGCTCTTATAGTTTCCGAGATCTCAGCGTTCATCCGGACGGACAGACAGACGGACATGGCTAGATCGACTCGGCTAGTGATCCTGATCAAGAATATATATACTTTATGGGGTCGGAAACGCTTCCTTCTGCCTGTTACATACTTTCCGACGAATCTAGTATACCCTTTTACTCTACGAGTAACGGGTATAAATACGAGATGAGTTAGCAGAATGACAAGTAAAAAGTTTTTTTTGTTGGATGGTGTTGTGTATCACGAAGATACGAGCCAGAATAAGACTTTGTATGTTCCATCAAGTATTCGAGATGATTTAATTAAGTTGTCCCATGAAAAACTAGGTCATTTAGGTGCAGATAAGTGCTACAATAATATGAAGTCTAAGTGTTGGTTTCCCTTAATGAGAACGAAAATAGATGAGTTAATTCGAAATTTTTTGAAGTCAGTTAACAATAGAATTTTACACAGTATACCCAAAGTGCTGATTCCATTTGATACGATTCACATAGATTATTTAGGGCCCTGGCCGTGTATAAATTCAAAAAGGAAACTTTCATTGGTAGTAATTGACTCATTTACAAAGTTTGTGAAGTTATTCTCTGTAAATTCTACAAGTACACGTGAAGTAATTGCGAGTTTAAGTAAATATTTCGAATTTTGTAGTAGGCCACGCAGAATTATTTCTGATAGAGGTAGTTCCTCTACTTCATTAAAGTTTAGTGAATATAAGAGTGGCGACATGTGCTCCCCAATCAAACGGACAGGTTGAGAGAGTAAATCGAGTGCTGACACCGATGTTAGGAAAATTGTCTATTCTAATTAATCAAGCTGATTGGTATAAACTTATAAATAAGGTTGAACACTCGTTCAACAATTCAGTACATTCTAGTACATTAAAAACACCAAGCATGATCCTCTTTGGAGTAGATCAAAAAGGTCCGATAGTTGATGAATTATATGAGTATTTAGATAATAAATTAAATAAAGATAAAAACATAGATTTAAAAGATATAAAGGATAAAGCAAATTTAAAGATTGTAGAGTCTCAGAAAAGAAATGAAATTATTAAAGCAGCTAAACAGGAAGCGCCATCGGAATAAAGCGTTGGAGATTTTGTGGCAATAATAAATATAGACGTAACACCTGACACTTGTAAAAAATTTGCGCCTAAATATAGAGGACCATATAAAATAAATAGAGTTTTGACAACGATAGGTATGAAGTAACAGATATTGATAACTGTCAATTTACTCAGTTACCTTATAAAGAGATTCTAGAAGCTGCGAGGCTAAAACCATGGCTACAAATATTAAAGAAGACTGTAGCTTATGTACATAATTTTGAGCGAGGTCGATCAATATGTCAGGTTGACCGAGTTGTAAACATATGTGAATATATACTAAATAGTATTAAGTGTGTACATAATGTTATGGATTGTATTTTAGTGTGTACTTTCTGTTGTAAACTTATGTGAATATATACTAATGTAAACATTTGTGAATATATACTAAATAGTATTAAGTGTGAACATAATGTTCTATATTGCTTTGTATTTTACTATGTACTTTCTATAATGTAACTTTGTATTAAGCACCGATAAGATAACAGGTATCGATTACATAGTGAACTCGATTGTCGAGACAAATTGGCCACTTGTAATTGAAGAAGAAGAGAGAGCACGAGGAAAATACAAAAAAGAATACGAAATTAAATCATTAAATTAAAAAGCATCATTTACAAGAACCTAAAAATTGAAACTAAATACAATTATACAAAATTTTGAATATAAGGAAATAAAACTCTTAAGGTTATAAATCAGAAATGTGGTTCCCCACAGCGCGGTAACCAAGCTTTCTGAGGTCGAATCTCTTTATTGGGAAAGGCATCAGGTTCGAGGCTGATGCAAATATGGCCCAACAAGGCCATTTTGGTAAGGCAGACGTCGTCAGGTTTATTGTCGATAAATTGGGCGATCTGCGTCGGAAGTTGGGGCGATTCCAGTCTGTGCGCCAGGAGTGCAGCCGTGTGACTGCCACCATGGCTCCTCGCGCAGGGCCACATCCTTAAAGCATATTAGATGCCGTAACTGCCAAAAGGGACACACACCCAGAGACTGCAAGAAGCGGAAGAGACCGGAAAAATTGATGCTTCATCTGCTTCGAAGTGGGCCACACACCGCTTGTGCCCCAAACGCACAGTAAAACAGCGGTGGATAAGTCGTTTATTCAGTTAGTAAGTCTAAAAATAAGCAACTCAGCGGAATGAACTGATATTAAAGATGTTTTTGCATTATTAGATACCGGAAGCCCAATAAGCTTTTTTGGTAAGTCCTACTTCCCATACTTAAATGAAAATAACATGTTAAAAGAAGTCCTTTTCACGGCATTGGTGAAACATCTATACCTACATACGTACGGACAAAAACATTGATTAGTTTTGTTTAAAAACAAATATTACAAACTGGAGGCTTATGTTATTCCTGATCTTATCATGCCTATACCGCTCCTACTTGGTAGAGATGCATTTGAATTACTTAATATTAAACAAGTATCGAAAAGAAATCCTGATGAGTTGTAAAGACTTCAACTTACTTCATGATTTTTTAATAATAATTATGTTAATTCTTATCGATATTTTTACGCTCATTTTTTACTGATCATGGTGCAAGAATTTTTGCATCTGGTTAGTCATCATGGGTGAACGGGTGTTTCTGACGATTAGGAGAAACTGGACAGCTGTTTTCTGGCGACTCTGAGAAGCAGCGGACAACAGCAGTTTTTAACAGCGAATGTTAGAATTCTGCTGCCAATGTTAGCAGCGCAACAATACGAAGAAGACATCTCCGTATGTCACGTTTTTATAACCGAGCTTTCATATTCCCTAATTTGTAAAACTAAAAGAGCAATAAGTCAAAGATTGAAAGTATACAACTGAATACAACTGGTGAAGTTCAACATATTTCTGTGCTTTTATTACAAGGTGTGTGAAAGACCCCCAGAGTAGACTTCGGGTGCAAATCGTCAAAACATTTTGGGGAACAACATGAGGGGAACATACACTCATAACTTCATCAGCTTCCAATATTTGTAAACTTACTTCAATCTTTGGGATTACTTGTTTGCAAATCTACTATTAATTTAAACCAGCAAATTTACACAACTTATGCTACTTACATCGCCATAGAATAGAGAGAGAATAGAGGATTCATCCCATGCCTATTGCCATCTTCCGCGACTAGTCCCGTGAAGTTTGCCATCCACTTCCTTTAAAGTCGCAATACGAGCGGAACGACTGAAACAGGTGAGTGTGGTTGTGAGAGTGTTTGTGCGTGGTATTTTAAAGTAGAGTGCACTAGGAAAACATTAAAATTGGTAAAAATGAAAGTAATGGCAGTGATTTGGCACAACTAAGTTCGGCGCCATTGGCTGGGGTCGAGCCTTTTGCAGACTCGTACGCAATGCTGATGGACTTATCTTCCAGGTTGACCCAACTAATTAAAAATGCTACAAAGGACGGTCAAATAAAGAAAACTAAAACCTACTATGAGTAGGAAGCTCAACGAGCCTTCAAAACAATTTTACATAAATCATAAAGCGCTCATTTTACAGCAATGTCCACGATCGCATCCGTATTTTGCGGATGCTGTTGAAGACAATTGTGAGCAAGCATACAGCCACATTTATTGTTCATTCGCCGATGAATACGAAACCAAATTTCCAGTCCCAATACAGGTGTCAGGTGATCAATCCATAACCAACACCCTCGTGTCTATTCCTGTTTCCAAAATTCAGCTACCCGAATTGCCCGTACTCCACTTTTCAGGAAATTTTGCGGATTGGCCATCTTTTTATGACAGCTTTACGCAGCTAATACATAAAAATCCATCTCTTTGAAACATTCAAAAATTTCATTTCTTGAAGCAAGCTCTACCGGACGGACGAGATATATAATATATATATATGATATAAACCATATGGCATTAACAGAAACCAACTATTCTGTGGCATGGAACCTTGTGGTAAAACGATATAACAACCCTCGACTGCAGTTCATGTACAACATGAATGCACTGTACGGAATTGAGCCACTGTCCAAGGAGATCGCGGTGGACCTTAGGAATTTGTTAAACTTGGCAAATGTATGTATCAGTGAATTCCGACGATTACACATTGTCTTTGACTCCTGTGATCATTGGTTGGTACATCACTTATTTAGAAAGCTGCCTATTAGCACAACACAGGCCTGGGAGCATTCCCTGGGCAACAACGTGGAAATCCCCACCTTCACAAAGCTGGAGGTGTTTCTTCACAATCGATTGGTCAGCATCGACCTAATTGAGAGTAGAAACCAGATCATCGGGAAACTCCACTGTTAGGGGACACAGCTTCCACAGGACTCTTGAGTCTGGATCCATCAGGTCCTCGCGCTGCCAACAGAATCACGTTCTAAGACGGTGCCCGGTCTTCCTTGCCAAGGATTGTTTCGCGCGAAAGGTTATAGTCGACCGCTCGAAGGCATGCATCAATTGCCTTAGTTCTTCCCATTCTCTTAGTCAATGCAGCAGCAACCAAAACTGCTCGCAATGTGGTCAACGGCACCACACCTTGTTACATTTTCCGAATGTTCAATAAAGTTCTTCATTGACTCCTGGAGTATCCCGACAGCATGCTTCAGAATCCGGTCGGAGCGCAGACGCTGCACAAATTGCAACATCGACGCAACTCCCATCTGAACTCAACGACGCTTCTTGCAACTGCACTGGCTCGGATCGCAAATAACTCCACCGGGCAGTCAGCTTTAGTTCGAGCTCTCATCGATCATGGCTCGGAAGGCACACTCATCACGGAAAACATCGTTCAAGCGCTTAGACTCAAACGGCATCCTGTGCGAGCTGAGATCACGGGAATTGGTAATACGTCGCATAATCAGTGCAGGCACAGCACCGACTTCACCATAATCTCATGTTCAGGATCTGATTTTAATGCCTACGTGTCTTCAGCCTTCATCCTTCGTTCGCTAACAGGTCATTTACCTAAACAAAATGTTAACATTAAGTCCTGTAAACATCTCCAAGGGTTAGCCTTTGCAGATCCTAATTTCATCAAGTCAGGTCGCATTGACCTACTTATCGGTGTCGACATTATCCCGCAACTAATGCTTCGGGACATTCGCAAAGGGACGTTTGCAGAACCAATTGCACAAAACACACAGCTGGGCTGGATAGTTTTTGGACCAGCTGAAGCAGCCCAGACTACTTCAATCTCCATTCGTTGTAATTTGGCAAACCTAAACAACATGGTGCAGAGGTTTTTCGAATTGGATCAGGTTTTACGACAAAACAACTCAGTGCAGAGGAGAAATGGTGTGAACACCATTTTCAACAAACTCATATCCGTCAGCCGAATGGGAAATATCTAGTTCGTTTAGCCTAGTACTCAGATCGACGAAAACCGCGAGCTAAGAATAGGAGTGAGCGAGAGGCAAGCAGGCGGCTAAAGGTTTTCGTCGGGTCTGTTTTTGAGCGCGGTACTCAGATGAGCTAAGGAAATACCAGACAAAATACCAGATTTCGCGAGTGAATTTTCGATGAACGCCGTTAGCCGCGGCCCAAAGAATAAGAAATTTAATCTTTGGCGGTGTTCGTGCAAAGGCGATGTGGAATCTAAATATTAAAAATGAAAGGAAAACCCCAAAATAGGATCCAGGAGGTCAGTGCAGATGAAATAGAACGCCTAATCCAAGCTGTTGCCCTTTATTGTGGGATTTCACCGACAGGAAGCAAAACAACAGGGGCAAATCCGCAGAATAGTTGAAGTGCTGGAAGAGATCCACTAGAGAATCCCAGTGGGAAGGAATATGCCGAGTGGGACTTGGCTCGCAAAGAAAGTGATCTCCGACGACCTCTCCATTAGTACTCCGTACACCACCACCACCAGCTACTTGGCAGCCTAAGCGAAGCTGAAAGACCCGCTGGCTTCTATAGGGAGGAGGAAAATGGAGCGCCCGCTAAGGAACAGTTGGAGAAGCCTTAGCCAGCCACTGCCAGGATGCTGGGCGTTCCCAATCCGGCTCCCACTTCCTCAAGGTCCAATATGCCTATTGGGACTCGGAGCTGAACTGCGGTGGAGCGGGAAAGACGGCGCAGCATCCGTGGGACGAGAAGGAAGCTTTAAACTACTAATTTAGATAAATAAAATCATTCGTTGAACATTCCATTAATTTTTATTTTAATTTAATTGTGTACCAGCAGACTCCTGCTTTTTAAATTTCAATTTCAAACCCAACTGCTTGACAGTAAGACCATGCTACATGCATTGCGGGTGAACTTTGAAAACTTCGGTCACACTAGAAAGAATACGATTTTTCGACTAGTGAAACTCTTAGCCGATCTGAGTACTAGGCTTTTGCCCTTAAAGCCAAGTACTCAGATCGGCTAAGAGTTTCACTAGTCGAAAAATCTTATTCTTTGTAGTGTGACCAAAGTTTTCAAAGTTCACCCGCAATGCATGTGGCATGGTCTTACTGTCAAGCAGCTGGGCTTGTTGCCAAACGGAAATCAAATCAATTGGAGCAATTTAAAAAAGTAGAGTCTGCTGGTGCACAAAATAAAAGTAAATTAAATGTTCAACGAATGTTTTTATTTATGTAAATTAAAAGTGTAAGGCTTCATTCTCGTCCCACGGATGCTTCGCCATCTTTCCCGCGCCATCTGTAGTCCAGCTCCGAGTCCAAATAGGCTGGCTAATAATTGGTGGTAATGGCTCCTCCAGCTGTCCCTTAGCGGGCGACCTTATTTTCTCATCCCTATAGAAGCCAGCGCGTCCTCCATCTCCGCTTTAGCTGTCAAGTAGCTGGTGGAGGTGGAGTTCTCAATGGAGAGCTCGTCGGAGATAAAGCGATGTGCCATGTTCCTTCCCACTGGGATTCTCTAGTGGATCTCCTCCAGCGCTTCAACTATTCTGCATATTTGCCTCGTTGTGGTATAGCTTCCTGTCGGTCAATAACGGACAACAGCTTGGATTAGGCGTCCTCGAAATCTGGTATTTTTTCTGGTATTTCCTTAGCTCATCTGAGTACCGCGCTGAAGAACAGACCCGACGAAAAGCTTTAGCCGCCTGTTTGCCTCTCGCTCACTCCTATGGTTAGCTCGCGGTTTTCGTCGATGTGAGTACTAGGCTTAAAGACGTTGCTTGACCCCACACAGTTAATCGGCCGGTCAAGGCAAATCGCATTAAGCTGTTTCCACGCCCTGGAAAGGAAACTTGACTATTGCACACTGGTCTCAAAGCCCAAACTAGCATAAACTAGAAAAATGAAGCTACAACATGAATCTTGGCACACTATATAGTCACTATATGCAAAGTCTGGACAACATTTTGTGCCGATCGGGCCACGCCTTCCTTTCCGCCCCATTAAAACCAATGCACCCTGGGACAAAAATTTACAAAATATCCATGAAAATGGGGCCAATATATCCAATAAAATTTAAAATATATGTCAGGGGCTGAGACATTTGCTGGTCTCCTTCTTGCATATTGTTGCAGATGCGCAGTGAGTCGCGGTCAACGTCTTCTCCGTTCAGATATCAAAAGCAAAGTGAAGTCGGCTTCCTTCTGCCGGCTTCTTCTGACACACGTCAAAACGACAAACGTCATCCAATTGCAAATTCCTTTCCTTTTCTCTCTCTCTAATTTGCAATTCCTTTTTGGTCCTTCTCTCTGTCAGAGTCCTTGACCTTTACCATGACCGAGCCACACTCGGCTGAGACGACACTCTCTCTCGTTCTCAATCCACGCTCTCAGAAATTGTGCAAATAAAAGGAACCACAAATAACCTAGTGACTAGTTTATTTTATCTCTTTCTTAATGCTCTACAGTTTCTTTTACATTTTCTTTCTTCTTATACATCTTCGACACGGCCATCCTGACTTTCACACGTCCTCGTGTGCATGCTGTAACACTAGGTTGGTATCATTCTTGCTTAATTTCTCTTTTCATCTTTTACATCTCTCAACATCATTCTTAATAACAAACAAATAGTCTACACACACAACTTTATAAATTGCGTCATCAAATGTCGGTTTCGCAGGCTATCTCGCTTTCTCACATCATACAGTGAGTCA